TCTAAATATTCAGCTGTTGAATAATTACTTCTTGCTTTCAAGATATGCATTATTTGTATTCTTAATACAAGTGGAGAAAAAAAAATTAAGAGATAAAAATTGTTTTAAAATGATAAGTGTAATAATTATAAATAAATATAATAAACAATATGAATTATATTTATCATTATTCCCAAATATAACTACTTTTAAATTCAAATTAACATACTGGATAATAAAGATATTCGGTATAACAATAAAAAAAATTTTTTATACACTTGTATCAAGTTTGTATTTATACAACATAACTTGTAAGTTCCTTATAAATATAAATATTAGTTAAATGATCCTTATATGTCAAAAATGCATGGTAATAAACTTTTAATTTTCTTAAATACCAAAAAAAAAAATTTTTTTTTTCAAAAAATAAATATTTAAACAATTTTTGTGCAAAATTTTTCTGCACATGCATTTGAATATAAATTTCTGAGATTTTAAATCTGTTATTTTACCTTAATTTTAATTAAAAAATATTTTAAAACCTGCTGATTACCTATAGTATAATTAAATTTTAATATAATGCATGGCAACTGTTGGTAGTTTTGAAGTTTATATATTTTCTTGGCAAACTTCAGTTTTTGACGGTTTAAACCAGTATTATACCCTTGTCATGTCAAAAACCACTTTTTGATGTCAAAAACCCAACCCTGATTAAAATATAACTACTAATATAATATTTTGAACCACAAATTTTTTTACTTTATATAATATTTTGCTATAATAGTTATATATGCTAATTTTATTCGTATTTAAATTCTTATTTATGTTTCTATTATCAAAATCTGAATGTGGGTTTCTTGATATGTTCATTTTCTTTTAACTTGGTTTCTAATTTTTTATAACATAAAAAAGAGCTTAAAAACCATTTCAAGATTTAACATTCATAAAATTTCCTATAATTCACCAAATTTAAATGTCCTAAAGCTAAAAATATGCTGAACTGAGTCCAAACTGAATGTTGAATCTTATTTAGAGCAACAATGCGATAGTTTATTTTAAATCATTTTAGAAACTACACAATTTCTTTATTTAAAATATAATTGCATTTTTGTTGCTCAATAAAATATTTATCTATTTTAATTTTTACTTTCATTTGAGAACATTAATAGTTAATTTGTTATAAAATAAACTTTTGTATTTCATGATATTATAAAAAAATCACTTACCTCTGTCTTTAGACAAATTTTTTTTTTTATAAGGAAATATTTTATTTTTGAAAAGTATCAGTTCGGTATTTTTCAGTTTCAAATGAAACTTAACATTTAACAGAATTTGATTTTATGCAAATATATTACTAAGTTGTCTGATGAAAAGAAAATGAAATAATTAATTAAAAGAATTATAATATTTTAATAATAATTACTATGAAAAGAATTTAACTTCATAAATATTTTACTAAGTTGACTGATAAAAAAGAATTGCGTCTGAAGCACATATATTTATGTTAAAATTATCATAACATTGCAGTCAACATATCTAGATACTTGGGTATGGGACCTTTTATTCAAGAAAGGGTTGTACATATGAATTGTAATAAAAATATATTTCTTCTTTCATAAAATATTTTTCTAATTCTCTTTTTAAATAATACTAACCCTTTATTACAATAATATATTCAAAGTTTAATTAAGTGAATAATTTTCTTGTATTATAAGTATGAATTTTATTTAAATGTGGCAGTGGCGGATCCAGCGGGGGGTGGGTCATAGGGGTCATGATCCAACCCAAAAAAAATTGGAAAAAAAAAAGTAAAAATAAAATTTTTTTAATAGTTTACAAAAGAAATAAAATATTTTAAAAATTATTTAAAAATTATTTATCTAGAGTAAAACGGTAAGGCGAGACGTCAAGTATTGGAGTCCAACTCCATGCCATAAACAAGGGACTTCCCCTTCTCTTGCCCCCTCTCACTTGTAGAACTTTTTCACGCACACACATCGCCTCGTAAGCGGAGAGATACACTAAAAGTTTTCTCTACTTTTTTTTTTCTTTTCTGGTTTTATGTAAAGACTACCCACAACCGCCAGCTACCCAGCATCAATTTCGCCAATCGCGTGTGGGGGGTGGGGCAAGCCTTTAGAGAAAATGCTGTTTCCTGTTTTAATGTCACTGCTTTATCATTGTTTTTAATTTTGAAATGTCTCTGTTAAGAAGAATAAATAAGTTATGCACAAAAAATAGTTTTAGTTTGTTTAAAAAAATATGTACGCTAAATGTTCTTGACAGCAAATCTATTTTGAAAAAGAAAGGAAAGCTAACAATTGTTTTTTTTTGTAAGCATTGACATTTTAAGCCTTTTTCTTAAAAAAAAACTATGTATTGTGCAACGATCATCTTTTTCGTATTTATTATGGTATCAAAATACGATTCGATTTTAATAAGATTATTATTATTGTGAATATAATGAATATTTTTTAAGAATAATATATATTAAAGAAAAAAATTCTTTTTATCTCTAATTATTTTTATGCTAAACTTATGTGTCATTGTCATGCTTTATATACAAAACGCTAACTGTTCAACTCTTAGAATATCTGTAACAATTTTGTGAGTATGTGATTGACAAATTTGTATTTACATGGACTAGGACGCAAATTACAATTTTCACAAAAATTAGCTCAAATGCTATGAAAAAAAAAATGAAAAAGTACACTCGATGTGTGTTAAGATAAGTCGTATAATTTCGTAGTTTTCCTGTTCCTACAACCCAAATAAAGATTAAATGCTCATTTTTCATCATAAAATTATTTCACGCAATTCTTCATGCTTTAAAGCATGAAGGAGGAGATGAAGCTCGCTTCGTTCACCAATTCATCCGATCACTTCGCAATCATTTTTGTTTCTTTTTGCAGATGATTGTTGCAATTAAAAGATATTAAAAAAATTGATGCAATAATAAGAGTTTAGTTATAAATGTATATACATAGCGTAACTACCATATTTCTCTAATATAAAGGATGTATGTGCGCAATGCTGATACATAGCATTCTCTGAATCGTAATGTATTTTTCGTTAATAAAGCGATTTAACAATCATGTGAATTTAGCTTTAAATATTGCTTTATAATTTGAAACAGTTATTTAATGTTCATTATTTTAATTGAATACGTTGAGTGAATATAGTTATTTTTTTTAATTATTATTTTTTTTGTATCATCATTTTCTAATGAAGAAAAAAGTAACAAAAAATAGCAGAAATGATAAAATAAATTTGTTATACATAGCGAAACTGCCATATTTCTCTTAAGTAAAGAAGGTATGTGCGCAATGATGGTCGCACTCTGAATTGTAATATATTTTTCGTTAATGAAGCGATTTAACAATAATGTGAATTTAACTATAAATATTGCTTTAGTTATACGGTCCACTTAGTATATTAACCTTCAACCTCACTATTATTTATATTGTATAAAGAATAGTGTATATCTTTATATTTTTTCACAAGTAGAAATCTTAATTTATCAACCTGAAGTTTTTAATATTACATTTTCGACACCTTCTTTTGTTAAACTATAAAATAAAGTTGCATAATTCTTCTGTAATTTTAATAGATTTAATTAAATTATTTTTAAATGACACTTATCAGAAATTTCAAGGTTAAAAAAATTATTTGAGGGGACTCACATTTTTATAAGGTAAATGTCTAAGGTGCTTAAATTTTTAAGGATATAAAATTGCTAATTTAAATACTTAAGTCAAATTGACATTCAATTTTTTTTTATATTTGAAACAAAAATTTTATTTCTTTAACAAACCAACAAATTTATTTTAAATATTGATTCTATTTCCCTGTTGAAACTTGGGGGTATTGGAACCTAAAAGTAAAAAAATATGAATAAGTAAGAAAGTCATATTTACAATATTAGCGGCAGGTTTTAAAATATTATAATCAAATACTCTTCGACAGAATTATACAAAATAAATTGTTGTTTTTTCCCCAAGATTTAAATTATCTGGATAAAATTAATTTTCTTTTTCAGGTAAATGGCATTCCACTTCTGTCATTTTTATTCAATCCTCGTAGCTAAAAGTGTGACAGATACCCAGATGCGTATTTATGGAAAGATTAAGCGCCAATGGCTAGTCTCTCACTGTCGTTTGGGGCCTCCCTGTCCGAGCGGTATCGCCCGCCAAACGCTGTGCAAAGCGTGGAAGTAACGATTTCGAATCCCCCAACTCTTTTGGCAATATTACAAAAAGATTGCATTGCATTTCTCTTTTTTTTTTTAAAAAAAATAGATTGATAAATAAATAAATATTAAATATAACAACAAAATCATCTCTTTTTAATTGTTATGCATTCACGTGTATTCAAAATCATTGGTTAAAAATAAAAAGACTTGTTTTATCATATTCATAGAAGATTCTATTGCGTTTTTTTCAACTGTCAATAAAAATTCTAACAAGTTGTTAACTAAGCACAATTATATTTTAATGATTTACAAATATAATTTGGTAACAAAAATACGGACTCACAGCAAATGTCGCTCTGAGTTAAAGAAGAACTACAACATAACAGGATGATTACCCAACATTTTCAAAATTAAAACTGAAGGGAATTGATTTTTTTTTTTTAAATAATCACACTTTGCTAACATCAAAACAATAAAATCATCGCGATATAATAAATTCATTAAAGATCACAGCGTAAATAATTATGGTTTGTTATGATAATTACTAATGAAATAGCTACAAGCAAATGATATATTTTGGTTAGTTTATTTACTGTTTAATAAAAAAACGATGTTCTTAATATAATTAAGTTTCACAAACATTATATAATAACAGGTACTAAGAAAAAATATACACGCAATTACATACAAAACAGTAGACTTAATTGCGACAATGATACATTCTTTAAAGAGAAATAAATTAGAGGAAATTAACGCTTTTGTTTAAGAATATCTAGAAATAATTTATTTGATAACAGTAAAAAAAGAAAGGCAAGAAGTGAAGAAATACATTAGAATACATTCCGGTATATTTAATTTAAAAAAAAATTATGAAAAATTCTCTTCTCATCACGATGTAACAAATTTAAGATGAAGCAAAAAATTAAACAAATTTGAGTTATAAATTTTTAGACGTTCAGTTCGTGAAAAAAATAAATAAACAGACCACCCTGATAACTTTTGATCTAATGATCATATCTTCATTTTCTTCTCATCTCAATGGTTCAAGGGAGTGAATTAAAATATGATAGTTACTAGGTGTAGGGACGATATTTCAAGTTATGAAATCAGATACTAAAACGTACTTTCTTTGAGCTTTCTGTTTATACATGCCATTTTTTCGACAGATTTGGATTTCTGAACCCCAAAATGTAGGAGGTAGTCGCGAGCTGAGAAGTAACTCGAGAGCTTTTCAAGCAAATTGAAAAAACAAATTTCGCACAATTTTAAAGGTCGTTTATAATTGTGTAAATTGTTATGAAATAACTTTTAGTAAATATTTATTATTTTATTTAATAATAGTCGTAAAAAAAATTGAATTTAAAGGTAAGCATTTTTTATATCGCTTTAAAATAAGGTAATTTAACATGGCAAAATACAATATTTCAGCAAAATTGTTCGAACAGTTCCTGAGAAATCAAATTTTAGATATCCGACTTTTTTAAAATTCGATTTCTCAGGAATCCGAACTCCATATTCGAACTATATGAATTTAGACCAACCTGCAGAACAGGTTTTTTTATAATAAAAAAAAACTTGTTAAAACTAATCAAAACTCATTTATTTATCATTTCTCGAAGATACATATTACGAGAAAGCTACTTTTTTTTAGAATATCTATCCAAGGTACTTAATTCACTTTATATACAAGCTATTACTACTATTTCACTGCAACTGTTTCAGTTTAAATGAATTTCAAGTTAGAGTTCAATGCTACTGTATTTAATTAAAAACTTCTTAAATTTAGAAAATACGTCCAACAGTGCGTTAGTAGAAATCATTTGTCTGAAATACTGATAAGTATTGAACAATAGAAACTAGCACTTGACCTAAAGAAAGCCAGAGTTTCGGGAAACTAACTTTTATTGAGGGGCACAAAGATTTTGAGTCACTTTGATGATTGTTTTCTCTCTAAAAATGAAATAAATATTGTGCCCTCTTTCCCTGCCTAAGACCTGTTTTTATCCTTCCTTTCAGCAACGACATTATATATACATATAAGAATACATCAACATGTGACATCAAAAAAAAAAAAAAAGCAAAATGCTATAAGGAAGAGCCAGAGCATATTTAAGAAGACACTGTTAGCTAGAAAGGCATAATATAAAATTTACCATTTAGTTCAGTCTATTGAGCATAAAAACGTAATACTATCGTATTAACTTAAAATACAATATTATATTAATCTTTAAACACATTCTAATTTATAACATTTAAAACACTAATAAGGAAAGAATATAAAAAGAATGTATATTTTTTTTAAAGTAGCTGACTCAATTTTAACTGTTAGTCCTAAAGATGACTTTCGCTTCATAATCACTGGATTGAAACGTAGCTGTCCTTCAGAGATCGTCCTTTACGAAGCAGATCTGCAACCTCTTAACTTTAGAAGGCAAGCTAATTTAGTGAAATATTTCAATAAACTTCCCAGTTTAGACCAAGGCAATTTAACTGCTATTTACCTAAATAATTGGACCTGCAATCAAAGGCTAAAGAAAAACAGTCCTTTTAGTCATGTTAAATCACAACTGTCAATCGCTGAAAATATTGAACCTCTTTATCTTCATTGTAATCTCAGTACTTGCTCGGATCTTTCCAATTTTAGTTTAAATGAAAGCCTCCCTACCACGCTTGATAAGAAAGACTGTGTTCCTGACTTCCTCAAACAATTGTCCCTGGAAATCATCAATAAAATCCCTCCAAACGACATCAAAATATACTCTGATGGCAGTAAAATGGATAGAGGCAGTGGAATGTTTATTGAAACACTTCGAGAGAACTTCATCAACGCAACCCCGATTTTTGTT